AGATTCAGACTAGCCCTTGGGAAGTTCGGTTATGTACAAGCCCAGTCAGATCATACACTGTCCATCAAGAGGGTGGAGACGTCACTGACACTACTTGCAGTATATGTTGATGATATTGTGGTGACAGGAAATGACAACCATGAGATTGAGTCCCTCAAAYAKCTCCTTCATCAAGAGTTTGAGGTGAAAGATCTGGGTACACTACGGTATTTTTTGGGGATCGAGGTTACTAGATCTAAACAGGGGATCTTTGTCTCTCAGAGGAAATATGTTTAAGATCTCTTGGCTGAAACTGGAAAGCTTGGTGTCAAACCTGCAGATACACCCATTGAACAGAACCACAGGATTAGTGCAGAGAGTGAGGAGATGCTTGAAGACAAGGTTATGTTCCAGCGGTTAGTGGGAAAGCTCCTATATCTATGCCTCACCCGGCCAGATATCAGTTATGCCGTTAGTGTTGTCAGTCAGTACATGCATTCTCAAAGCAGCAAATCACCACCTCAGACTGCCCGTCTGTCTGGGGATGGTAACTTGTGGTATGCAACATCTGGACTCCCTGTGCCTGGAAATAGGCTTCCCAAAATTTGCTCATGAATAGGAAGTCCCAGTTGGTGAGAATGGAGTTGGACGTGCCGTGAAGCTTGGCAACCTTTGTGTGACATAAGCCCTTGCAACCAAGGAGGCCGAGTAAGGTGTGGTAGTGATAAGTCGGGTAGAGCGAGGGTGGGGGTGTAATCACTACCTATTTCAGTTTTTGAAAGGCTTATTCTGCCACCTCGTCCCATTAAAAGGCCCCCTTCTTCAACAGTTGGGTTAAGGGAGCAGCCAATATCCCATACCCTTTTATAAACCAGTGGTAGTATCCGGTCAAACCCAAAAATGCCCTGAGCCCCTTCTCTATGATATGCCCCAAGTACTGTATGCGGGTTTGCCTGAAGGAACATTTGGATGGCTTAGCTAGGAGTTCGTGTTGTCTTAGTACTGCCACAGTCTGTCTCAAGTGCTCTAGATGGTCATGCCAAGTGGGGCTATGCACCAAGATGTCGTCAAAAAACACCAGAATAAACCAGCGCAAGAAGAGTCTAAAGATGTCATTCATTAATCTCTGGAAGGTAGATGGGGCATTACATAGACCGCAGGGCATCACTATGAACTCATAGTGGCTATCCACCATTCTGAAATGGAATGCTAATAGAAGAAGAAGGAAGAAGAAACCAGGAGAATTAGAGTAAGAAGAGAATGATATTTTCCTTGTCCCTTTCTCAGTAGATATTTATAGCTAACACTACTTGGCAAATCACAATCCAAAGCATGCACATGGGAGGCTCGTGTTAGTAGTATTGACATGGCCTCCTAGTGTAGACAAACTTGATGGGCGGTGCAGCTCGAACTATCTTCAGTGGTGGGCTTGGCTGGTGCTCTACGCCAGTGTGGGCTTCGTGGGTTGCTGCCCGAGTGCTCTGAGGGCCTAGGTTCTTATCAAAGAGAATAACAACTATAGGACAGTCTTACAAATAACATAAGGGAAAAGCAAAATGGTCTTATAAAATGATGTAAAGGGTAGTTTGGGGCTTCAAGGCAACTGATGGAATACTAACCGGGGGGGTAGGGGGTGGGGGGTGTTGGAATCTGAAAGTTCAGGGGGTCTTTGTTGCCAATGAAAGTTCAGGGGACTAAGTGTCACTACCCCAAAGTACAGGGTGGTGATCTATAATTTACCCTAAATAATATCAATAATAATAACAACAACAGCAATAAGCTGTACATCTCAAGTCACAAAAGTTATTATCCCGTTATCTATCAAAAAATCTATATGGATTTCTAGCACCCTCAATTCAAATTAGTGAGAAAATATCAGACCCTTCAAAACTGTTAAGAATCCTAACATAAACAATTATTTTAACACATATTACTGTTAATGTAACTGGTGTGGATTATGTTATCTGCACTGAATATTCAGGAAGAAATAACAGGTTCCAATTTCTAAATTAGCATGCAACAATAGGCTGCAAAGGGGGTGAATTGATATTTCACAAATATACATATTCTTGAACATCCACCAGACAGGTGCAATGACTTGATTCCAAACTTTTTCTTTCATTTTTTTCTTTTTTGTGGGAGAGAGACCAGATCAACGTTTACTTTATTCACAATTTCCTATTTTCAATTGAACTATAATACATTCATTCCAGTGAAAACTCTGAGAGAAGGATAATGAACAAAACCTTTCATCACAGAAAATTATTGCTCCATAATCATGGCGATGACGGATGACACGTCCCACAGCCTGATTCACAGCACGTAATGCTTGTTGACAGTACCATTCCTCTCCAGTCAAGACCTACAACTTTGTGAATATATTAAGAATTGGCTAGATTTCACATTATTAAAAGAAATTGTAGGCCCATGCCTTGGTAACTGTATCCACTTATATGGATTCCACCATATTATTGATAGAAGCCCAAAAAAAAATCCAGAACTATAGGTACAAATTGTTGTAACTAGAAATTTCAACATTACCTTAAAATCTCTCTTTTGTGATTGAGCCTGATGATCCAAGTATTCACGTTTCAGACGAACCTAGCAAATAACATTTAGGTGGCAAAATCAGAACAAGAGATGGACACACAAGTACATGAAAATGTATATACTATATAGGAGCCAGGTTCAAAGTATCGATATGATACATACCATATCAGGCGTATCGTATCATATTTTTGGGTTTCCAAAACACTAAACACTTGTGATTTTTAAGTTTTGATTGTTTTATATATTTGTATATGATATGACATGTCTGACAAAATACCAGACAAAATAGTAAAAAAAAATACCTTTGAGCTTTTTTTTTTATAGGTAAGTAATACTTTTGAGCTTTTAGTGTGATCAGGGCTTGCTTAGCTTAGGTGGTGCATGAAAGTTTAATAAATGTCACCCCTAAGTTGACTTGGATCAGTAGCATACTAAGTGAATCCAATCTTTAGACACTGGACATGAGACAGGTAATCAAACTGCAAGATAGAAAAGTGTGTGCATAATTTGCAACAGAGAAGAAGAAAATGAAATACATTATTTCCTTAAGAGTGAAACTGTTGTCAACCCTTGGAATTTCTTCTCTTTCTCTAGAACGATGTGGTTCACAATCCAAATAGCACTAACAAGTTATTAGTTCATTTGTCTTAGATTGCATATTGGGTTCTTATTGAATTTGAGGGCCCCTTGGGAATGACTTTATTGGATATCCTTCATCAACTTGTGTTCTTAACTATTTTATTGCCTAACATATTTTAGAGAGTAATCAGACATCTTAGCTGTAAAAGCCAAATATAGTTAACTAATAACACATAAAATACAGAAATTGGACGACTATAAAGTTCTTTTTTATGCCAAAACAAATTTCTTAAATGTAAGAAAAGAAAAGAGCAATTTTTTTATAATGGAGAACCTATTTTACAACAGAAGAATAGTGGAAAATGGGAAATCAAACCTTTGGATCAGTCCTCAAGGCAAAAGGTATGCCAGTAATTATGACAGCTCTCCCAGCATGGTCAGCAAAATCTAATCCCTCGCTTACCTTACAGTACGAAAGATAAAGGGTTTAACTTCTAGAAAATAAAATCTCAGGCTTCCAAGTTGAAAATGCACTTTTGAGTCTGAGTGCAGCTAATTTGCAAAGGTAACACCATATCAGTCCACCCATCCAAGAATTCACATAGCCAGGACCAGCATTAGGTAATGGCCCTTAAGTCAATCCATCAAAATCATAGGCATTAGAATATTAAGGATGATGCAAGGGCATAACAGGCATCAAAACATATAAAATTTAAGGAACATTATTTCAGGATAAAAGAAAAAACATAAGACCACATGTGACCTACAATTCCTTTCTGAACCAGTGAACCCACATGTGACCTACAAAGAAGTAAATGGCTATCAAATATTTTGATTCTGATGCAAAGTCAGAGGTTCAGGAAACGAAAGTTAAACCATACATTCTTCTAGATCTGTATGACCTTTTAAAGTTCCACAACATTGAATTTATTCCAATCAAACGACCAAAAAATATACAAAAAACAAAAACAAAAAAAAAACATTGAGCCTGTTGGTTAATTGGTAATATATCTGTGATGCAAAATTGCAGAGAAGAGAAGAGAAGGAGAAGAAAATAGGGAGGAATAGTACATTGGTTCTAAAAGAAATTGTGTCTAATCTGCGCACTCAATCAGGCTTATTAGCTTTAAATACATGAATCACTATATAATGGAAATTACACAATTGCTATTATGATTATTACATTGAGTTTCCATTAGATATGATGTGGGAAGTGGGGCCAGGGTTTTTTTTTTGGGAAGACCTTTGGCTGGCTCAAACCCCCCGTCAGTTTGTCTTTCCTAGCCTCTACTCCTTGTCGAACTATAAACAACCTGTTTCGAGATTTGCTACCCTGTCTCTTTCAGGGATTAACTGGGACTTCGGGTTTAGAAGGGGCTTGAGGGATGATAAAATTCAGATATAGTGTCCGTACGATTTCAGATCAGAAGAAGGAGAAGAAGAAGGAGAGGAGAGGAGAAAGAATAGTTCCAGTCAAACTAGAGAGAAAACATATCTTCTCTAGTCGGCTAGTCTTTATTTATACTTTTTTAACTAAACAAGAATTACTCTTATGCACTCACTTAAGTGAGAGCCACATCAGCAAAACACTTAACATATAACTTAAAATAAAAGGTTAATACTACCTTTCTACAGCCGACTCTAACACTCCCCCTCAAGCTGGTGAGTATATGTCATATAGTCCCAGCTTGTTACATATGTAGTCCACTCTTCCCCGATTCAACCCTTTGGTAAACAGATCTGCCCATTGATTTCCGGTGTTCACATTAAGCACCTTCTCACGTACAAAGTGGCAATCAACTTCTATATGCTCTGTCCTTTCATGAAACACTGGATTAGAGGAGATACGAATTGCAACTTGATTATCACAATATAGCTTCATAAGAGTGTCAATCGAGTATCCCATCTCCTCTAGGAGATGCTTCAACCACACTAGTTCACATGTTATGTGTGCCATGGCTCTATATTCAGCCTCTGCATTGCTTCTTGCTACCATTGTCTGCTTCTTACTGTTCCATGTCACTAAGTTCCTACCAAGAAAAGTGCAATACCTTGTAGTGGACCTTAAGTCAGAAATGGAACCGGCCCAATCAGCATCTATGTATCCCTCTATCTCAAGACTTCCTCAACTCTTATATAACAAACGACAACCTGGAGCTCCCTTCAAATACCGCACAATCCTTAGAACTGCCTCCCAATGTAGAATTCGAGGATTCTGCATAAACTAACTGACTACACTAACTACAAATGAGATATTAGGTCGAGTGATGGTTAGGAAATTTAGTTTACCCACCAACCTCCTGTACCTTCCCGGATCCTCAAACTCCTCACCTCCATCACTACTCAACTTAACATTCGATTCCATGGGTGTTTCAACTAGTCTAGAACCTAACAACCTTGTTTCTTCTAGCAGATCAAGAGCATATTTCCTCTGGCACAGATTAATACCATTCTTGGACCTCGCTACCTCTATCCCTAGGAAGTATCTTAATTTGCCAAGATCCTTTGTCTGGAAGTGATCACGCAAGTAAGTCTTCAACCTGTCAATCCCTAGTCTATCACTGCCTGTGATAACAATATCATCTACATATACCACCAATAGGATCTTCCCAGCATTGGATTTGTAATCATTCATGGAGAGTGGGAGATGAGAGAGAGAGAGAGAGAAAGAGAAGGAAAGGGAGATACAATTGGGAGAAAAAGAAAACTATCTTTGGCTGCCGCCAGCTCACTATTTATATTAACTTAATAAAAAAGAATAGAAATTACAAATATGCCCCTGGCGGCACACCCTAGAAACAAACTAATAAGAAAAAAGGAAAAATAACTGACGGTATCTTAAGAGGACAACCTACTAACAGCAACCATAAAGTAACAATTAAATAAGCCTTACAACACTCCCCCTCAAGTTGGGTTGAATATGTCTATCCTGCCCAGCTTGTCACATAACTCATTGTGCCGCGAGTATGGAAGCCCTTTTGTGAGGACATTAGCAAGTTGTTCCTTGGAGTTGACATAAGGGATGCAAATTTCCCTTTTTTCCAATTTTTCCCTTATGAAGTGTTTGTCCACCTCAATGTGCTTGGTCCTCTCATGTAGGACAGGGTTGCTGGCGATGTTTATTGCAACCTTGTTGTCACAGTAAAGAGACATAGGACTATGAACAACAACTCCAAGCTCCCCTAGAAGATTTTTTAGCCAAAGAACTTCAGCCACCCCATGTGCCATAGCTCTATATTCAGCTTCAGCGCTTGACCTTGCTACCACACTTTGTTTTTTGCTTTTCCAGGTCACTAGGTTTCCTCCCACAAATGTGCAAAACCCACTCGTGGACTTTCTGTCATCCACAGCGCCTGCCCAATCAGCATTTGTAAAGACTTCCACCTTTAGGTGATTATGTTTACTAAATAGTAGATCTGTTCCGGGATATTTTTTTCAAGTATCTGAGAACTCTCTCTACTACCTCCATGTGTGATTTCTTAGGAGAGTGCATGAATTGGCTTAGAACCCCAACTGAATAGGCAATGTCTGGACGGGTCATGGACAAATAAATCAACTTTCCCACTAACCTTTGGAACTGTTTCACATCTTACAGAGGTTCACCATCACAGTCACCCAACTTGTGGTCAACATCCATGAGAGTATTTGTTGGCCTTGCACCTAATTTGCCTGTGTCCTATAATAAATCAAGGGTGTATTTCCTTTGAGAGACAAAGATACCCTTTTCTGAGCGGGCGACTTCAATCCCAAGGAAATACWTCAGGGGACCTAGATCTTTCACTTCAAATTTAGATGCAAGGAATTGTTTCAATTTTTGTATTTATAAACTCCAACTTCCAGTAATGATGATATCATCCACATACACTATCAATACAGCAACCTGTTCCTGACATCTCTTCACAAAGAGTGTATGATCAGACCGACATTGTTTGAAGCCCATCTGCTAAATTGCCATGTGAAACTTACTGAACCAAGCTCTGGGAGATTGTTTTAAACCATAAAGAGACGTTCGCAGCTTGCACACCTTATTTTCACTTCCCTTGGCACAGAATCCAAGGGGTTGAACCATGTATACTTCCTCCTCTAAGTCACCATTCAAAAAAGCATTCTTTATGTCCAGTTGATGCAATTCCCAGTCAAGATTAGCAGCTAATGACAGGAGAACCCTAATTGAGTTCATCCTAGCTACTGGAGCAAAAGTCTCATCATAGTCAACCTCGTACACTTGTGTGAACCCTTTGGCTACTAATCTTGCTTTGTACCTTTCAACTGTTCTGGCTGCCTTGTGTTTAACCGTAAACACCCATTTACACCCCACGGGGTCTTTCCCCTTCGGAAGATCCACCAATTCCMAAGTTTGATTTTTGTGAAGAGCATTAATCTCCTCCTTCATGGCATATGTCCATTCGGGGCATTTTAAGGCTTCTGCAACGTTTCTGGGAACAGGGATGCAATCAACTGCAGATAAGAAGGCTCAGTATGAGGGGGAAATGTGATCATAGGAGACAAAATGGGTAATGGGATGTTTGGTAGTGCATGACCTGACTCCCTTTCGTTAAGCAATAGGAATGTCAAGGTCATCCACAGTAGGAGTAGGGGTATCAATAGGTGCAACAGGGATTGGACTTACCTCCTGTGAGGCTAACGGTGTCGGTTGCTCAATGTTTGGCTGCTCCACATCTCTATCACATTGCTGATCTCTACGACGTGTACGTTGGAAGACACGAAAGGGAGCAAGGTCCGAAATAAAAGGAAGAGATACTTGGCGGACCTGAACCTGCTTCTCCTCTTCCACACTACTACTCTCCCCCTGAGGAGAAGCGGGGAAGAATGGCTCAGACTCAAAGAATGACACATCCATAGACACAAAAAACTTATGACTAACGGGATCAAAGCACCGATACCCTTTTTGAGATGAGGGATACCCCAGAAAAATACAAAGAATGGACCGAGGGTCTAACTTACCTCGAGATGGAAACAAATCATGGACAAAGGCACGACAACCAAAGACTCTAATGGGAATAGAAAATAAAGGGGACTGAGAGTACAATAACTGATGAGGGGCCATGTAGTTCAGCACTTTGGAGGGCATGCGATTGATGACATAAGTAGTTGCAAGTATAGCATCCACCCAAAACCTTTTTGGAACATTCATGTGTAACATCATCCCGCGAGCTACCTMAAGGAGGTGTCTGTTTTTTCTTTCTACAACACCATTTTGTTGTGGTGTTCTGGCGCATGAGCTCCTATGAATAGATCTGTAGGAGACAAAGAACTCATTGAGCTCACC